GGAATGCCATATGGAAAGCTTATCAAATGTCTAAATGCCACCAATCGTTGTTGGGAGAGACAGTCAACAAAATTTTAGTTGCTTCATTATATATTTGCCAGTAGCTGCCAGTCCCTAAAGCTTTAAGTTCTAGGTGCTTGAGAGCTGTAATAGTAAGCCTGCTTCAAAAAGGCTTTGCATTATACCGTCCTGTCCTCAAAGCCTGCTTAATGCCTGGGAGATGTTTTCCACAACCTCAAAATACCTCCGTATGCTCACAGACGGGCTTTGAAACCCATCCCACATGGCACATTGCATCCTCACATGGGCGCAGGCAGTGCCCGGCACTGCGCAGTGCTCGTTTGCGATCCACACCAATCCATTAGTGTTGGTACAAAATACACAATCACAGAACGGTGGGGTTGGAAGGGACCCCAGGAGATCATCCAGTCCAACCTCCCTGACAAAGCAGGTTCCCTCAACAGGTGGCACAGGAAAGCATCCAGGTGGGTTTGAACATCTCCAGAGATGGAGACTCCACAACCTCTCTGGGCAGCCTGTCCCAGGGCTCTGGCACCCTCACAGGAAAGAAGTTTTTCCTTAAGTTTGTCTGGAAACCTCCCTAACTAGTCTCTTGTTTGGTCTGACAGGTGTGGAGGCACTTAGGGACTGGAGAATTGGGTGGATTCCTTTACATGGAGTGGCCCTTCTTTTTGGGAGCAGAGGCAGGCAGTAGCTCTCTCTGGGCTGTGCTCAGAGGAGCAAGTTGAGGGAAGGGACTTCTCCAGTCCTTGAGCACCACTGAGGCCCCACCTGGAGTGATAGGGGCTGGTCGGGGTGAACTCCAGATTCTTTGTGTTTCTCTGAAATCCAAGTGTGACAGCAAAGAAGGCAAAACATATTGTCCTATTCCTTATTAAACCCACCTTTCACTTCCAGCATAGCACTGTGCCGCTCCCAGATCTCAAGTAGCTTCTGAATTGAGAAAGCCATCCAGGTCCACACGAAAGCTGGCGCTGACTTGGTGAACATGTATGTT